GAAAGAAGGAATTCTGCCAGCAGACCACCTTTGGACTCAAACTGCAACTCCTTTCCTGAGCCTCCAGCCTGATAGTCTTCTCCATCAGGTTTGGGACTTGCCGAGCCTCTACAATCACATGAGCTGATTCCTTAAAATAAATCTCTTTATATATACACATCCTGTTGGTTTTGTGTCTCTGGAGAACCCTGACTAATACAGTCAGTGCCACTGAAGACCAGTGGTCCCCAAGCTCAGCTGGACTGTCACCACCAAACACAGCCTTCCTCAAGGCTCTTTTCTAGCTGCGTCCTCCTCTCCCCACAACAGCTATTTCAAACTCTCACCCCTCGTCCGTCAGGCCCCAAACCTTTCTCCCTGCTGAGTTTCCCACTTCCCAGAGAAAGCAGAGGCCTTCCGGAGGGAGCTCCCTTAACTTACTTCTTCCATCCCCCAGCCTTTCTTACCCAACCACCCCCAAAAGTATAGCAGTTCTCTGCATCATTGCCCCGTTCTCTCTGCTGGAAAGTGTCCTTCCTATGGCCGAAGGCTAATGCTTCCACCTCGAATCTGAATCCCATTCCCTCCCTCCTCCAGAAGCCTCTCCATCAATTATACCTCCCTCTCTCCTGCATCTTTAACTTTAGAAACAAAACAGATGAGCCTTTCCTGTACCCCAAAGTCCCCTCCAGGTATCTAACCATCTCCTTCCCTTCCCAGCCGAGCTCTTCCAGCGAGCAGTCTACACAGCTCTAACCCTACTCCCTCCCAGTTATCTCTGCCCTCTTACAGTCTGGCTTCTGCCTTCCTCACCCGCAGAGAGCTGCTCCTAAGGATCTGCGTAACCCTCAAGACGCTAAGCCCAGTGGACATTTTTCAGTCCTTACCTTCAATCCTGACCTTCATACCATTTGACACCTTTTTGAAACTCTCCGTCTACTCCTTCCTGGTTTTCCTCCCAATCCTCATTCCTGCCTTCATCAGCTCCTCTCCCTCCATCTGTCCTTTAAATATTGTGTTTCCCAGTATCCTGTCCTTGACCGTCTTCTTCCCTTCTACTGCTCTCTTCAAGGACTCTCTCCCACATTCATGATTTTAACCATTGCCCACCTTCCCTCTCTTTATCCCATACTTGTCCTCTGTGCTCCAGACTCATATACTCAATTTCATTTTCATCTGAATTTCTCAAGATATTTGTATTAGTTATCTATTATTGTATAACAACTTACCCCAAAACTTAGTGGTTTATAAAAACAAACATTTATTCTGAGAATCAGGAATCTGGGAAAGACTTAGCTGGGTGGTTCTGGCTCAGGTGTCTCATGAAGTCGCAGTGAAGATGTTGACCTGGGCCACCTGAAGATGACCTGGGTCATCTGAAGGTTTGACTGGGGGTGGAGGATCTGTTTCCAAGCTTGCTCATTCACATGGCTGTTGGCTGGAGACCTCAGTTCCTTGCTGGATGTTGGCAGAAGGCCTCAGTGCCTTGCCATGTGGACCTACCCTTAGAGGTGCTTCAATGTCCTCCAGAGTGAGCAATCCAAGAGAGAGCAAGGAGGAAGGCACAATGCCTTTTACAACATTGCTTCTGCTATATTCTATTGGTCACATAGACCAACCCTGATACAATGTGCCAATCCATTACCTGCTGCCAATCTATTTTCCACACTGCTTCTAGAATGATCTCTATACAATTAAAACCCCTCAAAAGCTTTCTGTTATCTTCAGGGCAAAAACCAAGCTCCTTAGCATAGCCTACGAAGCCCCTGGTGATCAAGCTAGTAGCTAGAGCTCTCATCATGCCCAACTTTGAATACTTCTTTCTAACCGACGTGTACCATTCGTAGTTCCCAGAAGGCATCAGGATAGTTCCCATCTCTGAGCCTTTCAATATGCTGCTCCTTCTTGTTGGAATATCCCCTTCCATATTTCAACCAGGTTAACTCTGGTTCATTCTTCAAAACTCAGCAACTTGAGGGCAGGAATTATGTCTTGTCATCTCTGTATCTCACCACCTACCATGGTACCTGCCACAGAGGAGCTGTTCAATAAATGTTTCCTGAACGAATAAACGAGTGAGCAGGCGCTTCCTGTGTGCCTGGTACTCCTGTGGCATGCTTCCTACACAGGAACACTGGTCCAATCGCAGTCACTCTTCCCCCTCAGACTGCCTTTCCTGCCCAACCGTCTCCCTTGGCCTCAATGACACAGCTGGAAAAGCAAATTCTGAAAGCTATCCCACCTTGTTCCCTATTAGCTCTGTGACCTTGGGAAAGTCATTTATTTCCTCTGAGTCTCTAGTGTTCATCTGCACTAAGGGTTAATAAAAAGGAGAGGATAAGGTGGATTATTTAAATTAATATTTATTGAACCAGATACTATGCTAGGCACTCTTAAATAAATTAGTTTGAGTGATAGTCACAATATCCCAGGGAGACAGATTTCATTCCCTTTCTACAGAGGAGGAAACTACAACTCAGAGTAGTTAGGTAGATATCTTGGCCAAAGTCACAATGCTGGAAGCACATTTAGGGTAAGTGATTGTACCATAGGCAACGTTAGAAAAAAAAATGGAGTATCTAGGTCTTTCCCAACCCTGAACAACTGAGATTTTGTTGTTCTCATAGTCTTTTCCAGCCGCAAGTCTCAAGGATAGAGACTCTGCCGTTTCCCATCAGACCAACGTCTTGTGAGCTCTGGGTCCAAAGCCCCAGGGTTTCCCCCACTTTGCTCCTACAGATTATAACAATGATCTCCAGCATTCCTTCTGCACCGTTATTTTAAAGCATTTTTACACCTGTCATATCTTGCTAGATAAATGGGAAGGAATGAGTTTTCCCATTTTATAGGTGAGAAAATTGAGGTTCAAAGTGACTCACCTAAGTCATATGGTATCATTCATCAACAGGAGGACAAGAGTCCCCATCAGAGGTTGACATGCCCATGGAGCCAAGTGGATACGTTTTTTGAATTGGCTGAGAAGCAGAAGAGTGGCATTGTGAAAAGAGAACCGTAGGTGTATCAGACAGACCTGGGTTCTGATTCGAGCTCTTCTGGTTGCAAAACTACCATAGTTCAAGAAAAAAAATAGTTCAGAAAGAGTAGGTCTGTTTTAGGAGCTAACCTTCTAGTCCCAGCAGAATAGAGAGATTCGGCGCTCCTTGAGGGTAGAAACTTATTTTCCCTTTATATCCCTGGTCAATAGCACAGTTCCACAGACATTCCTGGTACTTAGTAAATATTTGTTGACTTGAATAGGGGATTTGGAAGGAAGGAGGCAGGGGAGGGAACTTGAGAGAGTTTAGAATCGAGAATCGAAGGGGGAGACAGGCTAGAAGAGTGGATCCAAGAAAGAGACTTGAGGCATTTGTGGCTCTGGTTCCCTTACTCCAGGCCATGAGGAAATCCTCCAGAGGAACAGGATGCTGTGGCTTTAAATGACTTCAGTGTTGTCAATGAATCTGCTCTGCTAAAAGAGTTATCCTCTTGCTCCTGCGCTCGGCCTCCCCCTCCTCTCAGCTCCCCAAACCCTTCTCGGCCGCTGTGATGGGATAATTAGATGCGAGAGCTCAGCACAGATGATGCTCCAGTTGCTTAGCAACTAATGGTTTCCATGGAGACCGCAAAGCACAGCCTCCAGAGCAGCCAGTGAGCAGCTCGGCAGGGCAGGGAGAAGACGCAACTCTCAGCTCCTCCAGAAACCTGGGGAGGGCCAGGGGTGGGGAAGGGGGGGAACTGGAGGGAGAAGGGAGGACTTAAAGGCACAGGGCCCTCTTATCCCTTTAAAATCTGGTCAGAGCTCTGCCCTCCCCTCCCCTACTTCGTCCCACTCAAATTTCCAATGGGGGTGGGGGCTTAGGTGTGAACCCAACACAACCCACCCGGCGATAAACCCAACTCTTCTCCTTTCTCCTTTCTGGTTTGTGACTGAAATGGGAAGGCATACCTCCCAAGCCCAAGTGTAAACGTCCTATGGGTTGGTGGTGGAATTTGAAGAGCATCAGGAAGATGCCCTTACCCCTGGAATGCCACCATTTAGTCTGCTCCCTCTCTCCAAAGTTCTTCTCAGTGTGAAAAAGATCTTCTTTCAGTTTGTAGAATGATGGTAGGATCTGATCTAAAAGAGGACAAAAGCCAAGGAAAGACAGAATTCAATTCTTCACCCAAAGACAGCCTGTCCTGGGAGACTGGGGAAAACACCTGCCCCTGGTCTCCATCAAAGAGGAGCCGGTGTGTGCGTGGTGGCGGTGGCGGGGGGCAATACGAAGCATCTGGCAACTCAAAGTAGGGGCCTCTCAGGCTAGCATCAATCAACGTTACCTGGAAGCTCGTTAGAAATGCAGAATTTCAGGCTTCACCTCAGACCCACTGAATCAGAAACTGCATCTTAACAAGATCCCTGGTGATTCACATGCACATTAAATTTGGAGAAGCACTGGTCTAAGACCCTCCTACTCTCTGCTTGGCCCCATGAGTTCTATCTTTACTGCCACCCGCTGCTTGCACCCCCCACTTTGAGCCTATCCTTCCCACCAGGGGGTAAGGACACAACCCCACCAGGCCCTCGCTTCCCTACTAGGACGCTGGCCCTTCTGTGGGACTGGGGAAGATAGAATGGCTCCTGGAGCAAAAAGACATTCGTTAGCATTCTATGGGGCTCCCAGGCGTAGGGGTCCCGAGAGGTCTGCAACCTCTCCTGACAAAGCTTTTCACTTTCCACGAATGACGCCCCCTCTCAGTCTCAGTTCCCACATCTACAAAAGGGAGCCAGTGACATCTACGGCCCTGGACAACTGTAAGGAGTGCGTTAGAGCCTGCGAAGGCCCTGCCCGGTGCCCATGGGAGGTGCTTTCTCCTCTCTCCTCTCTGTTCACAGCATCTCCTCCACTTCTACCTAGCTGAGCATGGGGGTGGGGGACGCAGTCAGAGTGGTTGTGTCTCTTTTTCATTTTCGTTTACCAGGTCTCTTTCTCTCCTTTTTTCTCAAACAGTTCAACAGTGGCTGCTGATCAAGGCTGACTGCCCACCCCCTAGCCCCTGGACAGGGCCAGTGCCCACCTCTCCGGTCTCTCCAGAAGTCCCCTGGCATCCCTTGGCCTCACTCTTCAGAGAAATTCAAATCCCTATAGACTCCCTGACGTGATCCCCCTCTGCCTCTCCCACAGCAGCAACACCTGGGCCTCAGTGGACACCATGAATTGGAGCCCTTGGCTCTGCTCCCCTACCCCTACCACCTGTCTCAGTTTCTCTCCCATTCTTGCCCAGCCAAGGCCCTTTCAGGAGCCCCTCAGGGTTACTCTCCTCTTCCTGCACACCAGAGCAACCTCAGAACTTGCTGCCCTCCTGGGAAGACCTCCATAACCTGGGGGGAGCCGTCCTCCAGGGGCCAGGCTCCCCATGCAGACGTGCAGGCAGGAGCACTCCTGCCCTTACACGTGGGAGTCCCGGAAGAAGGGGAGATTTTCACCCTCCACCTTGGTTACCTTGATCCTCTGCAGCTGAGTAAGCCATCAAGCTCTAGCCAGGGCATCCCCCATCCTGGCCTGAGGGCCAGCTCCCCATCCTGAAAAACCTGTCTGGGGGCCACCCCTGAGGCTGAAGGGCCCAAAGGGCAGGTTGGACAGGATTCCCCTCCAGCCCCTCCCACCCTCAGGACAAAACCAGCCACCCCGGGGGTAGGGCCTCACTTGCTTCACGAAGCCCCATCCTGCTATCACCCATTCCTGCTCCCAGCCCAGCCATGGCATCCCTGCTGCCCATCCGGACCTTGCCCTTGATCCTGATTCTGCTGGCTGTGATGGCCCCAGGAGCTGCAGGTCTCTGCCATTTCTGGCAAGGGTGGGGAGGGGCTTGGGGGCCTGGACAGGAGGCATTGTGTCTTCTAGGGCTCTGAAAGAGAACCTGGTCTGGCCACTTGGGGGTGGGCGGTTGTGGGGGAGGCAAGTGATGTCAGTGACCAAGCATCAGTGAGCCCAGGGCATACTCCTGGTCCTCTTCCAGATCCAAGAGGCAGAGAGGTGTAGGGAAAGTCCCAAGCCTGCAGGTAGGGGTGAAGTTGGGCGCTGCCCCATCTTGGCACCCAGGGTCTGGCGGCTTGGAGGAGTATCCGGCTTCTGCAGCCCAAGCCTGCCACCTGGTGGTCAGACAAGCAAAGTCCTGTCTTCTGCAGAGGGACCGCAGAGTGGAAGGGGAGAAGGACTCTGCATCCTTAGAAATGGCCCCTGGGGGCTGGGCCAGAGCTGATGGGCAGGAGGGGATTGATCCTCCCCTGAACTCCCTCCTGGCCCCCCAGTGGACTTCAACATCTCAAGCCTCTCTGGTCTGCTGTCGCCGGCACTAACGGAGAGCCTGCTAGTTGCCTTGCCCCCGTGTCACCTCACAGGGGGCAACGCCACACTGATGGTCCGGAGAGCCAACGACAGCAAAGGTCTGCTACCCCCTCCCAAGGCATCCCCTAAACCCCAGAGACCCCTCCCCAGGACACCCCCAACTTCTGTTCTCCCATGTGTGCCTTCCTATGGACCCCTCTCCTGGGCCGTCCACTCTCTAAATGCTGCCCCTTCTCCTTGAGGCTTCCAGAAACTTAACCCTGCCTTTCATCCCCAATTTCTTGCCCAGTGGTGAAATCTAGCTTTGTGGTGCCTCCATGCCGTGGGCGCAGGGAGCTGGTGAGTGTGGTGGACAGTGGAGCCGGCTTCACAGTCACCCGGCTCAGTGCATACCAGGTGACAAACCTCGTGCCAGGAACCAAATACTAGTAGGTACCAGATCCAGGCCTGGGGCACCTGCGGGAGGGAGGACAGGAAGAGAAGCTGGGTCCTGACATCTGGTGGTGGTGGTGGGATGTGGTCAGCAGGGGCGGAGAAAGTGAGGGTTAAAGGGGTCAAGAATAGGCCTCTCTTGGAGGAGGGCACCATGGGAGGCACAGCTGCCAAGGGGGAGGCCTGGGCGTCCCAAGTCCCAGATACTAAATGCTTTCTCCCAAACTCCACCTCAAAAGCATTTCCTACCTAGTGACAAAGGGGGCATCCACTGAGTCCAGTAGAGAGATCCCAATGTCCACGCTTCCTCGTGAGTAACATCTAAGGGCCCCCAAACCTTCCCAGGCCCCTCCCACCCCATCCCCTAGCTGTCCCCCTGTGCTCCCTCTGCTCCTTTGCGGACCTCTCTCCTAGCGCGTTAACTGCCTGCTGACTCATCTGCCTGTGCTGCTAAACTAAAGGTTCTCTGTGGGCAGGGATCGCGTCCGATCCATTTCGGTATCCTCAGCGAGTGATGGAGGACACTTCATGAATGTTTGTTGGATGGATGTTTGGCTCCCTCGGATGATCAGTCGGTTGGCTGGATGAATAAATAGATGAAGGGCTGGCTGGTTGGATAGCTGGATGAGGGGCTAAGCTGAGAGCCTCGGGTGGGACAGGGGCCCCTCATGCCCACTAAGGCCTCCCCCCTCTCTCTTCTGACAGGAAGGAAGCTGGAATCCATTGGGCTGGGAATGGCCCGGACAGGGGGCATGGTGGTCATCACAGTGCTGCTCTCTGTCGCCATGTTCCTGCTGGTCATAGGCTTCATCATCGCCCTGGCACTGGGCGCCCGAAAGTGAGGCAGTCGGCGCCAGGCAGCAGCCTCCTCTGGGAAGTGCAGGGCACTGTCCGTGTCCCCAGCCCACAGCTTTGCCTTTTGCTCCCACCTCCTCTCCTGGAAAGACTGCCTGCTCCCAGGCATCAGTCACCAGGCTTTGGCTCCTTCAGGGCCTTCATGTCCTCTCCCTGCCTCCTCTCTCCTGGAGCCCTTTCCTCCCTCTGTCCCTCTCCTTGTCCCCTAACACCTCCCCTCCCCCCAACACTCCCTGTTATTCCCCTCACCCGACTCCTATCAGAATTGATTCTCTTCCCATTTCACCACTTTAACCACCCCCATCCGCCAATAACAATTCAGCCCTCCCTCGGCGCACTTAGTCCCTACAATAAAGTCTGCTGCCATATCGCTGTCTGTTTCCCTTCAGTGGGCTCCACGTTGGGGTGAACCCCCAGAAGCTACGTCCAGGCTGCAGGTCCCCTCTCTGCCCCAGAACCCTAGAGTTGCTTTTCTCAGAAGGTAGGAAGGGGCCGGATGAGATAAGAGCCCAGGAGTCAGAGTTCTCAGACCCACACCTGGTTTGTGGGTTTTGCACCATCCACAGCAAGCCACCCAACCAGGGGCCAAGGGGTAGGGGCTGAGGCTGAGGCTGGTGCACCATGTGAGGCTAGCAGAGCAAGCGGAAGTGCTGGGGAAAAGATTAGAGGCTCTGACCAGGAAAAGACAGAGGCCTACCAGGGTGAGACCCAAGACCAGGGCGCTGAGAGGTGGGGGAAGTGGAGAATAGGTTAAAGCGGCCCTAGGAAGAAAGAGTAGAAGGGAAGAAACCTGGGTGGAGGGGGACAAGAGTGGTGCAGTCTGGTAACTGAGGGAAAAGAGCAGGAGCGGTCAGCCTCATTCACTTTTACCTTCTCCAATATATCTTCCTTATAAGGATCAATGATCTTTGCATTGTTCTTAGGGTGAAGCCCAAAATCTTTGTGAGTGTGTGTGTGTGTGTGTGAGGAAGATTGTCCCTGAGCTAACATCTGTCCCCATCGTCCTCTATTTTGTATGTGGGTCACTGCCACAACATGGCTTGATGACTGGTTTAGGTCTGTGCCCAAGAACTGAACCTGCGAACCACAGGTTGCCAAAGCAGAGCATGCGAACTTAACCACTACACCACTGGGCTGGCCCCAAAAGTCCAAAATCTTTAAGGTGACCTTGAAGGCCAGCCCTGGTCTCTTCCCTAACTTCCCCTCAGCTCTCATCATGTTCCTTCCAAGGTCCTGTGTTCACTCTTGCCTCAGGGCCTTTGCACAGACTATTCTGTAAGACCAGGCTGCTCTTGTGACTGCCCCCACCACCACTCCACTCCTATTTGCATAGTTGACCAGTTTCTCCAGGGAAGCCTTCTCTACTCTCCATCCCATTAAGCTGGGTTCCCCTATCCTTTCATAGTATTTCACAGTATTACTATGGGGTTTATAATTTTGTGCTTATGTGATTAGTCAGTTGTCTGCCCGACCAGACTATATGTTCCCTGAGAGCAGTCATTTTGCTCCCCTGAGAACACAACCTTTGCTCTGCAGTGCCTGGGACACAGTAGGTACTGAATAAATACTTGTTGAATAAGTGAATGAACGAATGAATGAACAAGCCCTTGAAGAGAAAGAGGGGGCTGGGACAGTGCCAAAAACTCTGCAAAAAGAACAAAAGATGACTCAGAGTTAGAAGATACTAGAACAAATGTTCTTTTTCGTTTTGTTTGTGTTTTTTTTTTTGAGGAAGATTAGCTCTGACTAATGTCTGCTGCCAATCCTCCTCTTTTTGTTGAGGAAGACTGGCCCTGAGCTAACATCTGTGCCCATCTTCCTCCACTTTATATGTGGGAGGCCTACCACAGCATGGGGTGCCAAGCGGTGCCATGTCTGCATCCAGGATCCGGACCGGGGAACCCAGGGGCCCCGAAGTGGAACGTGTGCACTTAACCACTGCATCACTGGGCCAGCCTCTAGAACAATGTTCTTCATGACCCCTTTCTAAAGTAACCCAAGAGCTCAGGAGAGGGAGGCAATGGAAGAGAAGGACAACAATATTTCTTCACTCCACAAACATTAACTAAGCATTAGTTAATGCCAGGTGCTAGGAATAAACTGTGAAAAGACATTGCTCCTTGCTCATGGAACTTACATGGAACTTAGTGGAAGAGAAAGATTCCCAAAAGCGTGAACAAGTAAATAAATTAAATTTAAAAAGTGAAAAGTGCTATGACAAATGAAAGAGGAGGTGGACACTGGGACCCTCCTTTGTTTGGACGGGCCTGACGGAGCGGAGCCTGAAGTCAAGAGAGAGGGTCAGGGAGAGCTGCCCTGCAGAGAGAATGGCTTGGACTCTACTCCCCCACCCTAACCGCACCAGCCAAGAAAGGTTTAGGAGCCCAATCTTCTTATGCTGTTAGAAGAACATCAGACTGGGAGCCAAATTGTGCTGCACATTAGAATCATCTAGGGGGCTATTAAAAATCCAACACCCAGGATAGCCCATATCAGAATCAGAATGAATGGGGGTGGGGGCCAGGCATTAGTATTTTTCAAAGATCCCCAGGAGATTCCAATGGGCAGCAATGTTTGGAAATGATTGATATAAACATTTTTTTAATTGTGGTAAAAATAAACCTAACATAAAATTTACTATTTTAACCATTTGTAAGTGTACAGTTCAGTGGCATCGAGTACACTCACATTGTCATGCAACCACCACCACTGTGCATCTCCAGAACTTTTTCATCCTCCCAAACAGAAATTCTGTACCCGTTAAATGATAATTCCCTATTCTTCTCCCCAGCCCTTGGCAACCAACATTCTACTTTCTGTCCCTATAAATTTGGCTGTTCTAAGTATCTCATAGAAGTAGAATGGTACAAAATTTGTCCTTTTGTGTTTGGCTTATTTCACTTGGCGCGATGTTTTCAAGGTTCATCCATGTTGTAGCATGTTTCAGAATTTAGCCTTTTAAAGGCAAAATAATATTCCATTGTATGTATATACCACATTTTGTTTACCCATTCACTCACTGACGGACATTTGGGTTGTTTCCACCTTTCAGCTATTATGAATAATGCTGCTATGAACACAGGTGTACAAATATCTGTTCCAGTCCCTGATTTCAGTTCTCTTGGGTATACGCCCAGAAGTGGGATGGCTAGATCATACGGTAAGTCTACATTTAATTTTTTGAGAGGTTGCCCCATTTTACATTCTCCCCAGCAATGTACAGGGTTCCAATTGCTCCACATCCTAGTCAACACTTATTCCTTTCTGCGTTTTGTTTGTTTCTTTTTATAATAGCCATCCCAATGGATGTGAAGTGGTATCTCATGGTGGTTTTGGTTTGCATTTCTCTAATGATTAGTCACGGTGGGCATCTTTTCATGTGCTTGTTGGACATTTGTATATCTTCTTTGGAGAAACGTCTATTCAAGTCCTTTGCCCATTTTTAAATTGGGTTGTTTGTCGATGAGTTGTAGGAGTTCTTTATATATTCTGGATGTTAATCACTTATCAGATATGTGATTTATATGATATAAACATCTTAAATGGTACACTAATCTGAAAGGGCTATAAAAGGGTGGTTGCATTACAATAAATTTGCTTAATAAAACCAAAATGAAACACTCATAAGGAAAAAAATTGGAAGAATATACATCAAAATGTAATCAGTTATTATCTCCGGCTGATACAAAGAATGACTTTTTTATCGTTTTTTTTCTTTGGGCTTGCTATACTTTCAAGTTTTCTGCATCAAACAGGTATTATTTTTATAATTACGGAAATTATCGTTAAAATCATTATTAGCATTAAATGTAAAGTCCTAGAAAACTTTTATAAAGGAAGCCATTGTTTTCAATGTAGTTACAACAACATTATTGAGGGTCTCCTATGCGCCAAGTATTCTCAAAGTTTCTAGTCTAGTAGACAAGCACCAGGCAACACAGTAGAGGGTGGATGAGCTCTCATGGGGAACTCAGAACACACAAAGGGACCAAAGGGGGCTGCCTCATCCACTGGCCAAATCTGGGACAATTTGAGGATTAAAGAAAAAAAGGAGGGGGCCGGCTCCGTGGCCGAGTGGTTAAGTTCGCACGCTCCGCTGCAGAGGCCCAGGGTTGGGATCCCGGGCACGAACATGGCACTGCTCGTCAGGCCACGTTGAGGCGGCGTCCCACATCCCACAACTAGAAGGACCTGAAACTAAGATATACAACTGTGTACAGGGGGGGTTTGGGGAGATAAAGCAGAAAAAAAAAAAAAAAGATTGGCAACAGATGTTAGCCCAGGTGCCAATCTTTAAAAAAAAAAAAGAAAAGAAAAAAAGGAGAGCAATGAATTAAAATCTACTTTACGAAGTAAGAATCCTTTGAGTCCATGCTGATAACAATCAAATAAATAAATACAGGATAAGGAAGTGCTCCTTACAATAGAATGCCAACAAAATAGATGGAAAAGGAATGATTGATTTAGAAAAATCATCATTTTACACCCATCATAGTAATTATTGATTCAGGCAAGAATCATAAATGGATGCTAGAATTAGTGGGTCCAAACCAGGATTTTAGATCAAAATATTTCCCTACAGATTGCTTACTAATTACAACAGGGGGAAAAAGGTAACTCTACAGTAGAGAAACCTGGTGGATACCATGAAACCAAGTGATTCAGGTTAACATCACCAATAATGAGACAAACTGACATCATGGGCCTCTTGACGTGATGTACTAAGAAGGAAATAACATAATTTCTGTGGTATTCTTGCCCAAAATGCCTAATCTAAGTCCAGTTATGAGGAAACATCAGACAAACGTAATCTAAGGGATAGTCTACAAGATAAATGGCCTGTACACTTTAAAAATGTTAATATTATGAAGGATTAAAAAGGCTGAGAAACTCTCCAAATTACAAGAGACGTGAAAATGAAGTACACTGCACAATCCTGAATGTGATCCGAGACCAGAAAACAAATTTGTGTAAAGGACATCACTGGGACAATTGTGAAATTTGAATAGGATCTGTATATCAAATACAGTATTGAATCAATGTTAATTTTTTTGATTTTGACGACTTTCTCATTTCTGATTTTCTGGTTATGTAAGCCAATATTCTCGTTTTTAGGAAATACACACTGAAGTATTTATGGGAAAAGGGGCATGATGTCTGCAAATTACTCTCAAATAGTTCAGAAAAAAATGTGTTATATATACAGAGAGAAAAATAAAAATGTGATGAAATGTTAGTAATTGTTGTAACGGGTGCATGACAGGATTTAGATATACAGGAATTCTTTATAACATTCTTGGAAGTTTTTTGTAAATTTGAAATTATGAAAAACAAAATTTAAAAGTCACCCTTCAATCCTATCCCACCACGTACCACAGACGCGGTCCTAGATAAACCATAAAATCTATCAGAACTTCTAGAAAGTAGCTATTAATACTCTCACGGGATCATTCTTAAATGGTAGACCAATATGCTAAATAAAATAAGAGCTTTGTGCAAATGCAGAGGGGGAACAGGAGCTGGGATACCCCCCTTCTGGACCCCCAAGGTCCCCAAACCTCAAAATGAAAGCGCAGGAAGGGGCTTGAGGAAAGACGTCGTCGTCGTCTAGAGTGCTCAGTCGAGGCCAGAGGGGATTAAAGGCGTCAAATAGGGAGTCTCCACACCTGAGCGGGCTCCAGCTAAGTCAATCAGCCCCGGGGATTTGAGGACGTGCTCCGAGGCCTCAGCCTCAGTCTCTCCGACTCTCCCACCCGCTGCCGGGCTCTCCTCTCCCTAAAGGTGGACCTGAAACTCCGACACCTCGACTTCTGGGCCAGCCTCCATGGCCAGGTCCCGGGACTGTGGGACTGGGACATGGGGAACGAGTGCTTCCTGGCCTTCACCACAGCGCACCTGCCCTTAGCCGAGCAGAACCGTGAGTCCTGGGGGATGGGGGGGGGGGGGGGGGGGGGGGGGGGGGGGGGGGGGGGGGGGGGGGGCGTGCCCGGGTCGGGGGCTCGCGGGAGCGCCGAGGCCAGTCGGCCCCCAGCCTCCCCGCTGCCCGCTCCCCGAGCGCGCTGGGTCCGACAGCGTAGAGTTTCGGGGTCCCGCGCCCCCTCTGCTGAGTCCGGGAGCCCCCTCCCCTCCCCCACTTCGCCGAAGGCAATTGGGCCCCCTTCTGACTGAACGCCCCCGCAGGGCAGCGGTCCTGCCCCACCCGGTGGCCTTCCTCGCCACTCCGCCGCCCGGTGCCGTCCCAGAACTTTCTAGGCCTCTTCTCCGCCTTTTCTCCATGGCGCCTGTCACCATTTGGCACGCTACATATTTTACTCATTTTTAAAAAGTTTAATTATTAGTTTTGTTCGGGGCTTATCCCCACCTCTTAATACATTATCTGACCTCCGGAGGTGCTCAGTATTTGCTGAATGGATGGTTGACTGTCGTTGCCTTTAAAAATTTTTTTTCTTTGGACCTCAAGTGCAGAGAGTTGAGGTGATCACCCACATTCATGGTACATCATTGCCATCTGTTTGGCAAGGTACTTGGCTTAACTGCTTTTTCCCTTTCAACCCCCACCCCCACTTCCATCACCTCCCACACTCCCATATATTTACCCTGATCGATTTAATGTCTTTAGCTATGTGTAACTTTGAAAACTATTTAGCATTATTTCGTTTTTCTAGGTGACTTTAATTTACATAATGTTCATTGCTTTTTTCCCTACTCACATTGTTTTTGAGAGCTATTTTGGTTGCTAAATGCTGATCCGGTTCATCATTTCTGACTGCTGTATAATATTCTATCATCTGGATATACTTCCTTGGCATTTTAATTCTTGCTATTGGGGACCTAGATTGCCTCCAGCTCTTTGTCACCATAAGTAATGCTGATGAACATTCCGTATGTTCATTGATTTGAGAAATAATTATTTAGCACCTCCAATTTGCCAGGCACTGTTCTAGACACTTGTGATACATCATGAACAAAACAGACAAGGCTTCATGGAGCTTACATTCTACTGGGGCCGACAGACAACCCACAGAAAAAGTATATATGGTATATTATAAGATGATAACTGAGATGAGAGAGAAAGGACACAGAGGGTTCAGGAATGTGGGGGGAGGTGGTGGCAGCTATAGTTTTTTAAGTGGGGTCATCAGGTTGGGCTTCTTTGGGAACATATATTTGAGCAGAGAGTTGAATGAAGGAGGTGAGATAGTGAGCCAAGAGGATATTTAGGAGAAAAGTTTCCCAGGCAGAAGAAATAGCCAGTGCAAAAGCCCTGAGGAAGGAATATTTCCCTGGAGTTTCTGAGAAACAATAAAGAAGCCAGTGAGGCTGAATTAAAGTCAATAAAGAGGAGCGTTCAGAGGGTGTGGAGCAGAGATCAGGAAGATCCACTTTAAGGATGTTGGGGTTGACTTCAAGAGTAAGAAGGTGTGGTTAAAAGGTGTTGAGCAGAGGAGTGACGTGATCACCGGCTTCATAACCTCTGCAGTTGCATGGGGTGCCTATACTTGGTTTAATGCTCTACTGTCACTTTCTTGAGAATTTTAATGACTTTTGAACCAAGAGCCCCACATTTTCATTTTGCGCTGGGCCCTGCAAATTATGGGGCCAATCCTGCATGATCTAATTGTGAAAAGATCACTGTGGATGCTGTGTTGAGGGTACATTGTGAATGTAGAGAGACTAGGAGCCTGGAAGCCAAGAGACTGGTTAGGAGGCTACTTATACTCCAGACAAGAGATGATAGTCGAGTGGACCTCCAGGGTGGTAACAGAGCACAGTGAGAAAGTAGAAGTAGCTGGATTTGCTGATGGATTGGATGTGTGGTATAAGAGAGATTAGAAGATGACTCCTCTGAAGTTTTTGTCTGATCAAGTGGGAGGAGGGAGTTGCCTTGTTACTGAGAAGGGGGAAGCTTCTGGTAGGACAAATTTAGGGAGGAAGATCAGGAATTCTGTTCTGGACACGTTGAGTTTGAGACACTTTTTAGATGTGCAAGCAGAAATGTTGAGTAAGCAAGTGGATATATAAATCTGGAGTGCGGTGTGGACTACAGATATAAATTTCACCAGTCTTTGGTATATAGATGGCATTTAAGAAGTGAGAATAGAGAAGACAGAGGACTAAGGATGAGCCCTGGGGGCAGTCCATTGTAAAGAGATTAGAAGAGAGAGAACCAGCAAAAACTGAGGAAGTGAGCATTGAGCATCAAAACTAAGAGACTGTGTTCTCCTGGAAACCAAGTGAATAAAGTGTTCTGAGGAAGGGAGTGGTCAGGCGAGAGGAGTGCTGCTGAGAAGTCAGGTAAGAGGTGGACTGACAATTGGATTTAGCAAAGTAGATAATAGTGGTTTTGGTGGAGTGGTGGAGGCAAAAGCCTGGTTGGCAAGGGTTTCAGAGTGGAAGGAGGGGAAGTGGAGACAAAGTATAGACAATTCTTCCATTAAGTTCTGCATCAAAGGAAGGCAAAAATATGCAGTAGTGGCCTGGCACAGAAAATGGGGCAAAAGAAGTTGGTGTTTTTAATAAGATGAGGGAATTAACAGCATGTTTGAATGCTGATGAGAATGACAAAAAAATTAATAACACAGGAAAGAGAGGAGAGGCTTGTTGGAACATTGTCCTTGAGAAGGCTCCAGAGAGGGAGAAAAGGAGACAGACAGGTGCTATCCTTTGATCCCACTGAGATCACCAGTCTGTTGATCCTGTCACCTTTTCACTGCTCTCACTCACTGGATGTCCTCTTCTTCTTTAACTAACATGGAATTCCCTGGTCAGAGACGCTCACTCTCCTTCATCCACTGTCAAGGCCTTTGACCCTCCTGGGCTTTGGACCACTTGCTCTTGGCCAAACCACAACCCTGAGTAAATCCAACTCTACCAAGCAGGTGTTCCAAAGCCATAGATCAATGGATTGGTGATATTGGTGGCATCAAAGGAGAGTTGGGGTTGAGGGGGGCTTAGCTGGAAAGATGGGAGGTGATGCGTTTTTATGTGGTGCAAAAGTGAGAGAGATTGGAGAGCACAAAATGGAGACGTTGCAGTTACTGCTTTAGGTTAGGACAGTGAAAAAGACTGTTTAAAGTAGGATGGAAGGCAAAGCTTTGGAGAAGGGTTCAGGAACCTGATAACCTGGGTTTTTAGGAGAGTCATCGATGTATCTATTGAACTAGCCAAGATTTAAGGCAGGAGTAGTTGCTCCTGAATCTCTTAATTCTCAAGTTAGCTGCTGATGCAGTAAGCCAAACACTGAGACACCTGTGCTTGGAGGTGGAGAAAGGTTTATTCAAGTTGGCCAAGATAAGAAGGCCAGAGCATGGGTTCTCAAATCCACCTTAATAAGAGAAGAAAGCCGGAAGTGTTATAGACCTAGGGGGTGTGGCAGGAGGAGTTCAGAAACAAAGGGGTAATCCTGTTTCTTTCACTCCCTATAAGCCCCTGGGCAATCTGACTTCTGGGCACACCTGGGGGCTGGTTATCCGGTGATCCTTGAAGGCATTGTCTTTCATCTGTAAAACAAGGTGGTCAGTCTGTGTGAGCCCTGCAGTTACCCCTCAGGTTAAACAGGAAAACAGCAAATTGACAAGACTAACTTCTTTTCATAACAAGGTCAAAAGGTAATCTTACTGAATTTTTACAGTAACCCTCAGGGGCTGCCTTCATAGTGTTAGTGACAGGACCCAGGAGCTAAACTCTAAATGAGGGGGAGTGACCCAGAGTTTGGGGGATGACAGTAACAATGATTAGGATATAAGTTCGGATATTAACTTGAATATACATGCTCAGGAGGAGACAGTAAGGTGTAGTAAATTATGGTCCTGCCTGATTATTCTTTGTGATGGCAGCACCAGTTGCTATTCAGATCTCAGTGTGATAAAGGATTCTATTTCCCTGCATCTTTGCCAATACTTGGTATTATCTGTTTTTATAATTCTTGTCAGTTTTATAATTCTTTCAGTTTTATAATTCTTGTCAGTTTAAAATCCTTGTCAGTTTTATGTATCTTGTTAGATGTAAAGTGTCACCTTATTATTCTCTTGTGTTCTTGATCCTAGTAAGGCTCAGCATCTTGTTAGTCAGGTGTCCCTTCCTTGCGGGTACTGATTCATATCTTTTGCCCGTTTATAGACTGGTGTTAGCCTTTGACTTATTGATTTGTAGGAGCTGTCTATCTCTTAGAATGAGAACTTTATGAGTTAAAATTTTTTTCTGGTTTATTGTCTATTGATTTTTTTCCCCTTGTGATGTTTTACTTTGCAGAACTTTTAAATTTTTATGTAGTAAAATATCTGCATAAAATGTATAGATTAACTTGAGAGTAATTGGCATCTTTATAATAAATGTTATATGTCTTTGTTTATTCAGATCTTCTTTTATGTCCTTAAATAGTGATTACATCTTTTTCCCATAAAGGTCTAGTCCATTCTTTATTGGGTTAACTCCTAGGTACTTTATAATTTTGGTTGGTATTGTGAACAGTACCTTTTTTAAAAAAAATTTTTTTTCCGGTTTCTTAATGCTGATATAGAGGAACCATACTGCTTAGTGTGTTGCTCTTATATCTAGCAAACTTCCTGGACTCTTACTGGTTCTAATAATTTGTATATAGATTTTGTATGGTTAATTATTTTTTTGTGTAAATAATGAGTTTTGCCTTTTTCTTTGCAACTTTGTATCTCTTGCTCCTTTTTTCTTTTTTGAATACTATATTGAACGCTGGTGATGTAATGGACATCCTTTCTGATTACTGAGCTCTTCAATAAGTATATCATCATTTTCCAGACAAAAACCTAGATTCATGTGTAATATGATGACACTCGTGGAACAATGAGGGGGACAGAAATAGTTCCCCTTAACCCCAAGGAGCGAGTAGTGCCAAGCAGATAACTCTTATACCTGATTGACTCTTAGCCCACTATGCATTCATTCATCCAGTTAAGTTGAGCTCCTCCCATGTGCCAGGTGGTGAACAAGACAGACCTGCAAATAGACTTTAAGCAAGTAATTACAATAAAATGTGTGCAATGGGAGTGTTCGGACAGGTGGTCAGAGAAGGCCTGCTTTAGGAAGATGTTTAAACAGAGACCTGATGGGTCAGTAGCAATTAACTAGGCAGGCAGGAAGAAGGAAGAGTGTTTCTGGCAAAGGAAACAGCTTGTGAGAAGGCCTAGGATCAAGTGTGGTCTGTTGGAGATGAGTGGAGAGCCTGGGAGGAATGACTTAACACTGATGGGAGCCAGGGCCTTGAAGACTGTCTCAAGGAATTTAGGTTTGGCCCAAGGGCAATGGAAACCCATCAGTTTTACAGAGAAGGGTGACAAGATTGGATTAACATTTTAGGAAGGACACCCAAACTGCTATATGATAAGTTAAAGAATAGACATAAACAGACCATTCAGGTTGTGGCTTGGACTAGGGTGATAGGACTTGGTGACTGATTGGGTGTGGCTGTACCAGAAAGAGAAGAGTCAAGAATGATTTCCAAGTTTCTGGCCTGAACAACTGGTTAGGTGGTGGTACCACTTGCTGAGACAAGGAATCCAGGAGAAAGAGCAGGAAGATGGAGTTTAGTTTTAGAAATGTTGGGGCCGGCCCGGTGGCACAGCGGTTAAGTTCACATGTTCCGCTTCTCAGCGGCCCGGGGTTCACCGGTTGGGATCCTGGGTGCGGACATGGCACTGCTTGGCAGCCATGCTGTGGTAGGCGTCCCACATATAAAAAGTAGAGGAAGATGGGCACGGATATTAGCTCAGGGCCAGGCTTTCTCAGCAAAAAAGAGGAGGACTGGCAGTAGTTAGCTCAGGGCTAGTCTTCCTCAAAAAAAAAAAAAAAAAAAAAAAAAAAGAAACGTTGTTCCAAGTGCCTGTGGGTTATTCCAAGTAAAGACATCTCATAGGCAGTTCTACTTAAGGGTGAGCAGAGAAGTCTGGGCTGGAGGTAAAGACTGGGAAGCCCTAAGTTTATGGGTGGTTTACTGAAGCCACAGACATTCATGAGGTCATTCAGGGACAGTACTTGTGGAGCGAAAGGAATGCAGAGGAGAAAGGGAAGGTCAGAGAGGTAAGGAGAAAACCAGTAGAATATGGTGTCATACTTCCCCAGGCAGGACCCACAGCCATCTCTCAAGAGAAGCTTCTGGGACCACATTGGAAATCCTGGGATGTTTTGACCCTCGTCTGTCTTTCCTTTTGCCAGTTGCCAGATATAGACTCCGAATAATTCCGCAACTAAAACTACCTCTGGAAAAAAAACCCAACCCTGATAAAGATGGTGAGTAGAGGGGCATGAGTTCTCTGACGTGGCCCTGTGGCCTGGGCTGGACACCTAAAGCCATTGAGCTATGGCACACAATGCCTTTGTGTCTTCACAGGTCCAGATTTTGAGCCCAACCTGTGGATGTGGGTAAACCCCAACATCGTGTTACCCCCTGGAAAGCTGGAGGTCCCAGAACCTAGTAAGGGAGAGGATCTGACGAACACACTCCCCTCCCCTCAGTCACCTCGAAAAGAAGAAGACTTTGCCAACTTCTCAGAGGCCACAGTGGTGGAGTCGCTGCCGCCTTCCTCCAGCGAGCAGTCTCCCGCTTGGAAACGGTTTGCCTCTTCCTCCAGCAACTGGGAGGTAGGGATTTCTGGGGTTGTGGGCCAGACTTGGGCTGTAGGCAGGGTGGGCACAGGGATGATACACCAGAGAGTTCTATTTTCTTAGGAATAACAAAGGGTTAATGGGTTCAGAAACTCACTGTGCCCTTGTGTTGGGGAGAAGCCCAGATGGTGGCCCTAGACCACTACCCCGTCCTGCCAGTTGCACCCCTGGAGTAGAGGCCGTAGAGTCAGGACCAGTTCCTACTCTGTGCTCCTTTAGCTCACAGAAGAGGAGGAGGCTGAGGACCAGGATGACAGCTCCTCTGTGGCTCTCCCGTCCCCTCACAAAAGGGCCCCCCTCCAGAGTCGGAGGCTTCGGCAAGCCAACAGCCAGGAGGGGAGGCTCTGGTCCCGGCCCCCTCTCAATTACTTCCATCTAATTGCACTGGCATTAAGAAACAGTTCCCCCTGTGGCCTCAACGTGCAACAGATCTACAGTTTCACTCGGTATGTGCCGGGGGGGGCCCTCTGAGGAGGGGGAAGGGAGGGGGTCAGGGCGCTTGGTCTGATACCTTCCAGTCTGTCCCAGGCCCTGGGCTGCTGCCTCGGTTCCTCCATCTGGGTCTGAGAGGATAAGTGTATTCCCAGTTCTCCTTGCCCAGGCACTGGTTCTAGGTTGTCCCCCAATATGTGTCTACGCATCACGTGTACAGGCAGATGTCTGCCCTCACCCCCTTTCACATCTAAGCAACCCAACCTTTTTATGTCTTAGTTCCTGAAAACACAAATTCACCTGGGTCATCAATTCTTCCCCCTTCCCTCTCAAGACTATCCAGTATAGAATCTGGTTTCCCCAACAGTTTCTCACATGCTTTCTCCTTGGATCGTCCTGCCTGGCACAGCTCCCTGTGCCCCCAGGGACCAGAGGAGCCCAGTTGAGAAGGGGCTTACATTTAGCTTTGATAGTGATGTACATATGAGTATGAGAGAGTTTCTCAGAAGCGTCTCAGAATATGTATCCTCAAGTGGTGTCCGTCCTTGACCAGGATTCCTCGTACAGGGGTTGGTTGGCCTGATTGCTCTTCTGTTCCTGTTGCAAGTCAAAGTCCTGAGCCCTCAGAGGGAGGGAGGAAAATGAGCCTGGGAATGGGGACAGTAAACTGGGTTTAAAAGATGAGGGTTTGCACAAGCAATGCACCAGCTGGAGGTTTTGTCACGTGCTCAGTCTGCAAGGCAGTTCTAGGCCAGCTTGCCATTCTCCACCTCGAGAGAAGGGCTGAGGCTCCTAGCCCCTGGGGGAGAACATTCTCAAGGGTAGGGCATCTCCCAAAGAAATCATGCCTTTCCTTACCGTTCCTCCCTGTCCACAGACAACATTTCCCCTTTTTTCGGACGGCTCCGGAAGGCTGGAAGAATACTGTCCGTCACAATCTCTGTTTCCGAGACAGCTTTGAGAAAGTGCCGGTCAGCATGCAGGGTGGGGCCAGCACACGGCCTCGATCCTGCCTCTGGAAGTTGACTGAGGAGGGACACCGCCGCTTTGCAGAGGAGGCCCGTGCCTTGGCCTCTACTCGGCTGGAAAGTATCCAGCGGTGCATGAGCCAGCCAGGTGTGAGGCCCTGTCATGTGTGGGGCTGAGGGGACCTGAAGATCCTGAGTGTGCAAGGAAGGAGCCTGGGTCACACCGTGGGGGACACCTTCTGTAGGACGGGGAGAGGATAGCAGTCATCCGAGACCCCTGGGGTGGTGCCTGCTGACGTGGGACCCCCCCCACACACGCATGGGACCTGAGGAACAGGGAGTTGATGGAGAAACAACTGAGGTGCCATCGGCCCTACTCACAGCCCAGCAGCCTAGGGAAATGGTGACCGTACAACGTGAGAAGCATGGTATGAGAGGTTATATGCAAAGGGGGCTTTTTCTTTTCCTGGAGACCAGGTGTCATTTGGGCCTTGGGAGGGGAGGAGAAGTAGATCATCTGCCGTGAGTGAGCTTCCAGGCTTAGGGAACAGCAGCTGCAAAGGGCAGATAGATTCCTTTGACTCTCCTCTTCTCTTCCAGATGTGATGCCCTTCCTCTTTGACCTTTAAGTCCAAGAAGCCAGAGTCAGCCCGTGCCTTATTAAAGTTACCTGCAGCAGCCTTGTGTGTGTGTGGTCTCTGAGGATGGGAGTGGGGTGGAGGTGGTCAGCTCTGAGGTTGGAAATGGGATGGCCTCAGAGCTGACATGCTCCAGAGGCAATGGCGCAGTTGCCTACTGTGCAGCAAAGGGGGCCCATACTCTTCTTCCTGCAAAGGAAGAAAATACTTGACTCCTCAGGATCCTGGAGCAATTCCCACTTTTCTGGGTCATGAAGATAGTTTTGGGAGATGCCAGTTTGTAGCAACCCTGCAAAAGGCCCAAGGAAGCACCACCCCGTCATGGGAGTGGATGTAATCAGTTGGGGACAGTGAAGAGAAGTTTAGGGAAACACCTCATTTGTGGGGCAGTTGTAAGAAAGACAGACCCTCATAGGAGGCCATGAGGAGCAGTGAGAAAGGCAGGAGGAAGGAATTTCCTGAGAGAGGGAGTCATCAGGCTCAAGTCTCATTTCTCCCATTTAACCATTGGGGGTGAGGGATGGGACCTCCGACCCGATATGCATGGCCCTTCCCTGTGCTGTTTGTCTCCACCATACCTCCAGCAGAAGCCAGAGTCCTTAGAGGCTGCAGATCCCAGCTGGGCTGCTGTGGCTTTCCTGGTTGCAGGAGACTGTGTCCGGGGCAGGGCCAGCTGCCGGCCTCAGGTTTGAGGGGAAGAGGGAGAAGCCTGGGGGATAAGTAAGAAAGGAATGAGGTTGGAAGCTGTGTCAGGATGCCATAGACATTGAGACAGTTTTGCAAGAGAATACTGGATTTCCCATGGGGCTGAGATGACCATTCTCATTCCCTGTTCTGCTGTTGCCTCACCCCAATAGGCCTGCGCAGAAACATGGCTCTACCCTCAGACACCAGCGCCCCCACCCCCTCCAGGGGACTGGGCATCCTCCTCTCTGGAGGTGGCAGTGAGTGGTACTTGAGTCTTGAGGGGCTCCCAGGTCTCTGCAGTGGGTTGGGGTTGAGGTAGTCTCGCTTCATCTTTCCTCCCTGTCTCCTAGAGCTCCAGGCTGTCAGCTCTGACATGGCTGCTTCCCACTGCTCCTGCGTCCTCGTTCCAGAGGAACCTACCTCAGGCAGGCACTTTCTCTTTAAGCTTGAATGTCCTGATCAGGCAAATGAGTTAATGATGCCTCTTTCTTAGTACCAGAGTAGAAAACGAGTGGAGGAGAGTGCCTCCTACTGAACCTGGTTCATAGTGGAAGCTAAATAAATGGTAGCTGTTTTATGGTTTATTGTGACATCTAGCTAGGAATGTCCCTGTTCCAGGAGGATGGTGGGCGAATAATGGCCTGGATCTACTTTTAGCACTTGACATAGTGGTAGCCTGGATCTTACTGTTCCTAGTGATGCTTTTTTCAATCTTTGACTCCCAGCTCTGTTCCCTTTCAGTAGAAATCTTGTCCTCCATTACTGTATCTTCTTCACTACAAGTTTTCTCAACATTTCTAAACTTCAGTTTCTTTTGTATGCAAGACAGGGATCATAGAAGTACACACAGATTTGATATGAGAACTAGATAGGACAATGCAAAGTGCATAGTCCTGTGTGGGGCATGTTAACATGGAGTGCTTACTATTGGGCTGGACGTCACCATACCTGCATGTGCAGATTTCCTCCATACAGCCACTGTAAGGAGTAGGTACTGTGATTCTCTTGTCTTTGAGTGTGATGGTCATTATCTTTGAGGAGGAACCTTCATTTCCTGTCCACTTATTTGCCCTTAATCCCTTGCAGTCTGTCTCACGTGAAATTCCACTGCCTCCTCCCTGGTCTCTGAAATGTGGAATTCCTGAAAAGCACGACCCATGCTCTACCAGACCCAAATCTCTACCTTGAAGAAAGGCCCCAGTTCATTTGCTTGATTTGCACATTTCAGTAACAGACACAAAATTCCACCCTGGTCACCGCTCCATCATGGCCACCACCTCTGCTCTACTGGCTGCAGTTTGTGCCTGCCTTCTCAAAAGGGCACCAGAAACTTAGCAGTGCTAAACTGGGGCTCTCACTGACCCTAGGGGACACTATGGTTGTTGCAAGGATTTGAGGGTGATATGGGCATCGGAAGTCAGGCCCAGGAGTGTCAGATGTCCTCAGTGCAGGAGGCAATCTCTCACCTTGAAGAGTTGACCCTCATACCTCAGGCCATTCATAATGAGCTGAGCCAAGAGCCTAACTTGGTTTTATACCTAAGCAGAAAGTATTTGTTGCATCATTTTAATATACACTGAGTTTTCCGGGAATGAACTCTTATATAAAATGAAAGAAGACTACTTTTTTTGGTTTGGAAGTTTACCAAGAGTTGTTTGCCATTTCGGAAAATCACTTCACTGACAGCAAAGCTGCTCTGGTATTTAAGCCACCAATACCACATGCCTGTGTCCCTTGGTGCGTGTATCTGTTGTACTCACAGGGATTCTCATGTAGAAACAAATATTTAGCTATTTCAAGGTAGCCAATATAAAGAAAAAATATTTAATAGTCATTTGAATATCATCTCAAATCTAAGCTATTCATTATAAGTGTGGAAATTTCTGTTCTCAAGTATAGTTTATCCGTTGAAATACATTTTATTTTAAACTTCTCTCCCTTTACTTTTCTGTTATATTAGCGCATTATATTGCTCTTTTTAAAATTACATGGGTGGGTAGGTTATTTTATCAGTTAAGGTTCGTTTCAGAGTAGTAAAGACAGTGTTACAAAATATTTGCTCTATTCCTCGGGTGTTAGGGCTGATGGGGTAGAGAACCAATGAACCAAGCAATGTATAAAATGTAGTCCCTGTCCCAGAGGCCCTCACCCACAGCGACACTGGCAACCAGTGAGGACAATCTAACGGAATAAGTCACATTCATGTCCAAACCCCCAGAGCCTAGCATGAGGCCTGTTAGGTAGTGAGAAGGCACTGTTTGCTGTGGATTGTCACTAGTAACTTCTCTAACTGGCAGGTTCCATATTCTCTAGAAGCACAGAGAAGAGAGCAATTAGCTCTGTCTGGAAGGGCTGGGGAAGACTTCTCACAGGAGACATTAGCACTGGGTCTTTTTTCTAGGTCTGGAAAACAAAAGCTAGTACTCCTCCAGAAGTGCTCAAAGGCAGCCCTGCTCTGTCGGGGAGCTGCTGATGCTCCCCGGAGGCCGAGGTGGAGGCTGGGGAGGTGGGCAGGGGCAGGGATGGGATGGGAAGAAGAAGTGACTACTGCCAAGGAAAAGACAGACAGACACATGCAGATGCCCCGTGGAAGCAAGTTGAGAACTGCCTTCCCCTAATCCACCTGGAGGTGCTTTGTGCTGATTTTCTCATCCCGGACTGTCTGGATGCTAATTGTTATGTGACATCTACTAGAGGAGTCGGGGGAGGGACCAGGTCATTAGTGTCATTCACTCTGGGCCCACCCAGGACTCTCTGCAGCCAGAGCCCCCTCTGCTCCCACCCTGGTCTATCCAGCTCCCAGGAAGAAGGAGATGGTCCTGAATCCTAAGCTCTGATTTCATCTGATTTGGCCTCAACTTGTTCACCTCATCTGCACTTTGTGCGCATCCTTATCCCTGTCCACATTCTTGTTGCTGTCTGGTTTAAGTTGCAAGTGAATCCCAAAAGGCAACAGGTCAGAAGGAAAGAACAAAACAATATAGCCTTTGTGGAAAAAGGGACCCTGAGAAAAATCCACCTTTGCCCATTTTGCCCTCCAATAGAATATGATACTCCTACCCTCACATCCTCTTTTTTGCTCATTCAGCAATTATTTGCTTTGAGTTTTCAATATGCCAGGCCCTGTGCCAGGTGCTAGGGGTAGAGTGAAACCCAAAAGGGTTCCTGCCCCACAGAGTTTTCAGTCTAGATGGAAAGACAGATACTAAACAGACACACTAATAGTGTACAATGATAATAAATATTAACAAGGTAAGTTTAGGTTATTGTGAGGGAAAATAACATGGGTACTTAAATTAGATTGGAGAGAGGGTCAGAGAAGGCCTTTCTGAGAAAGACATGTTAACTGAGACCTGTATAATGGGTGTCCAGGCTGAAGAATGGGAAGGAAAATTATTCTAGTAGAAGGAACAGAATGGACAAAGCCTAGGAGGTAGGGAACCTCCTCAGCTTGGCCTATTGAGAGAATGGTGGTAAGGCCGTGGAGGACAGAATGCAGTAAGCAAGGGGAGGGCGATCCCAGGGGAGGTGGGGAGGGAGGCAGGGACTAGACCACACAGGCCTTTCTAGGCTATGATAAGGGATTTGGGTTTTTTTTTTCAAGTATAGTGAAAAGTAATTGAAGTAACTGACATAACCTGATTTTATTTTTTTAATCATGCTTAGCCACTCATTGAAAATGGCTTGTAGCGGGGCAGATGTGGAAGCAGGCAGGACTGTTAGGAGGTGATTGCAGTTGTCCAGAGGGAGAGGCATAGTGGCAGTGGCAGAAGAGATGCGGAGAAGCAGACCAATCTGATGATGTATCTTGGAGGTAGAATCAACAAGTGAACAGGACTGATTGGATGAAGGAGGAGAAAAGATGGCTGAGGCTTCTGGTTTGAGCAGTTGGGTGAACGGGGAGGAAAGGAAGCCTGTAGGACCAGCAGGCTGGAGCAGTTCTGTGTTTAGAATCTGTGAGGCATCAGGGTGGTTATGCCAAGTAGATAATTGTTATAAGTCCGGAGTTGAGAAGATAAGTTTGAGCTAAAGATGAAAATACATTTGACAGTCATTGGGATATAGATAGTATTTAAATCATGCTGTATGTACTGACATAGAAAGATACCCACAACAGATTTTTTTGGGGTAAAAAAGCCCAGTAGCAGAATAGTATGTTCAATATGATTCCAAATGTGACAAAAATTATTCTTCATATATATAAATATGTTGTCTAAGCATAGAAAACAGCTTGAAGAATATAGCTATCAAACAGCAATAGTCATCTTTGAGGATTGGGGGGTAACAAGATATGGAGGACAATCATTTTTTATTTATAGCCTAGTTTTTTTTTTTAACAAGAAATTACCTTTTACAATTTTTAAATAAATAAAACTCCCATTAGGCTGTTTTGTGGTATGATACTATTAATTAGCAGGCCATTAGCTGTATGCTTCCTAGGCTCCTTCCTGGCACAAATTCCCACCCCAAGGGCACCCTAACTT